GCCACCAGCCCCGCTAAATTTTGTATTTTTAGTAGAGATGGAGTTTCACCATGTTGCCCAGGCTGGTCTTGAACTCCTGACCTCAGGTAATCCACCTGCCTTTGCCTCGCAAAGTGCTGGGATTACAGGCATGAGCCACTGCACCTGGCCCTGTTTTCTTTATTGATGATGAAACCATCTTTAATCTCACCACGCCCTTCAGTGGTTACCACCAGCTATGTAGCATGGAAGATTCTGCGTGACCTTTCCCGGCCCCCATTTAGCCTCATCTAGCAGTGCAGGCCCACCCTCAAGGGTCTGTGTGTTCAGGCACACGCCCCGCTCTGTCCAGCTGGTCTCAGCCCTGACATCTGGATGGCCTGAAATCTAGCCCTTTTCAACTCCTTTTAGTGCCCTTTTTGTTACCCTGTGCCTTTGTTTACCCATTTCTGGCCTCCTGGATGTTGTCTCCTTCCTCCTTTCACTGTATTGAAACTTCATCCTTCAAGATTCAGCTCCACCCTCACCTTCCCTATGAAGCCTCTCCCTTCCCTGGAACTGACCACTTCTGCCTTTCCTGCCCTCTCTTGTGAACTGAATATTTATCAGTCTTGCTGCCAAAACGCTGTATTCTATTTATTTGTTTACACTTGGCTCTTCAGCTAGACAGGGAGCTTGCTGGGGGAAGGGATCATGTTTTATTCATTTTTTTTTTTAATTCCTAACTTGTAAAACAGCACTTGGCACACATTCTTACATTCTCAAAATAAAAAGATGGGAGGAAGGTTTGTATAAATGAATGTTAATGTGCTTTTAAGCTGTAAATTACTATACACATGTAAGTTATTCTAGTTTCAGAGGCATCCCAATGTAATACGTGAAATTTGAAAGGCAAGTTTTTGGATAAACAGAGTACTTTCTAGAAAAGGTAGAGGGGTTGGAGAAATGAAAAAAGATTATTTCTGAGGGCCGGGTGCGGTGGCCCACACCTGTAATCTCAGCACTTTGGGAGGCCAAGGCAGGTGGATCACCTGAGGTCGGGAGTTTGAGACCAGCCTAGCCCACATGGCAAAACCCTGTCTCTACTAAAAATACAAAAATTAGCTGGACGTGATGGCGCATGCCTGTAATCCCAACTACTCGAGGGGGCTGAGGCAGGAGAATAGCTTGAACTTGGGAGGTGGAGGGCATAGCGAGCCAAGATTGTGCCACTGCATTCCAGCTTGGGCGACAGAGCAAGACTCCATCTCAAAACAAAACAAAACAAAACAAAACAAAAAACTGTAATGTGATATCAGAGGAAGAAGGGAAGTGGAGGAGCCATAAACTAACCTATTTCTGGGCATCTCATGGAAATAAGGTAAACTCCCAAGGGTGCTGAATTTGCCTTCTGTCTCAGTTCTTCTTTCTATAGCATGTCCCTGCTGAATGGTTATATAGATCAGAGCTTCTCAAACTATTCATGGTGAGGGGCAAGTGTGTGTGTTTTCTTTCCATCGATCACACACTGATTCTTTTGCAAAATACAATTTAAAACAGAATACCAGAAAAGTTAGAAGAAGAATAAGATGTACAAAGTACAAGCACAAATTTATTATTAGGTTGATATTAAATCATTCTGTAAACTACTGTAAAAAGTTTCTGCATGCTTACTTGATGTCTGTACTTATCTCCTAGATCAGCAGCAAACAGTTTGCAAATTGGCTCCTGCCCACTTCCCATACTTTGAATAGGACCAAGTCAGATCTACTTGGATATCTACTTGGATATTTTCAATAACAGATATTACAAGGAATGAAAAAGTTAGAGGAGGATGCTCGGGTGCAAATCTTATAATGATAGAGATCTTAAGGACATAAACTGATCAGAAAATAAATAGGAGAAATTTTAGATCACAGAAAATCATTCAAATGGTGAAAAGCCCTTTTTTGTGTGTACTCTCTGCTCCTTCCCTCACCAAAGTAAATTCTTTGATCCTCTTGGAGAATAATTGTTTTCAGTACAAAAGTTTTAAATTGATCCTTCATAGTTGTTAACAGTAGGGTAGCCATAGGTGCTGACATCAAGCCAATAAAATTAATAAGCAGCATGACAGGCTCTAATAAATTTCGTTGGTGTCCTTACTCTGTCATTTCGGGCGCAGAATGAACTATTATTATCACCAAGCTTCAAACCACTCATTTTGGCTACAGATGATTACAGCTGCGAATACAGGGCATGCTGCCATAGTTTTCAGGAACTAGTCTAGGGTTAAAGTATTATATTTAAAAGATGTGCTTATGATCAGTGGGGGGAACTAGTTATGACCATACAACTTTGATCTGTTTTCTAGAGTCATCTACAAAAATGTGGACTCCTCATGATCTGTTTTCTCAATAATTTCTGAAGACAAGCAACTTTTAAAATTTAGTTTCTCTGTCATGGACTCTGAGGTTTTTGAAACTCTTTGAGCTGGCGATGGGCCATCGGTTGTTGGATGCAGGCCACGGTTCTTTGTCTGTAACCCCAGATGAAATTCTTTAAGCCCCTTAACTCAATCTTTCTCTCACATGAAGAATTTAGTATCAGGTTTCTGCAAATGAGCAAGCTTAACACTTGAAGTAAGAGAAAGGATTGTTCATTCTCTCTTTAAGCCCCACTGCGGAGCCTCTGAATTCAGCCAGGTGAATGTGGCTTGCATCCGCCACCTCTGCCCGGCCCCTCATCCTGCCATGCTGGTGTGGCTCATGCCTATCTACATCCTTCTGTTTTACCTTCTTAATTTTGTGTACAATATGCCCTCCAAAATGTCCAGCAAACTCTTAAGCTGCTATTAAATACAAACAGTCACTGCACATTGAGTATTAGTCCCTCCTTTTGGACCATATGTAATTTAACAGAAATATCGATGAATATATTTATTTTGAGGGAGTGTAGGGTTTATATGTTGTTCAAAATGTACCATTCTTTCAATTCTGGCCTCCATTTGTTTTTCTTTTTGGGTCTTTTTTGGGCCTGTCCTATGCAGGTACTCAAGCTCTTATGATTGTTCCATTTATAACAGTAAGGAGAGGGCCAGGCGTGGTGGCTCATGCCTGTAATCCCAGCACTTTGGGAGGCTGAGGTGGGCGGATCAAGAGGTCAAGAGATCGAGACCATCCTGGCCAACAAGGTGAAACTCTGTCGCTATCAAAAACACAAAAATTAGCCGGGTGTGGTGGTGCACGCCTGTAGTGCCAGCTACTTGGGAGGCTGAGGCAGGAGAATTGCTCGAACCCAGGAGGCAGAGGTTGCAGTGAGCCAAGATTGTGCCACTGCACTCCAGCCTGGCAACAGAGCGAGATTCCGTCTCAAAAACAAAAACAAAAAAACAGTAAGGAGAATAGGCCAAGCTATTTGGGGATTTTAATGCCAACTACTTTTAAATCTTTTGAATCTACTTTCTTATTGAGGTGACTATTTTTGAGACGGAGTCTTGCTCTCGCTCTGTCGCCCAGGCTGGAGTGCAGTGGCCAGATCTCAGCTCACTGCAAGCTCCGCCTCCCGGGTTTAGGCCATTCTCCTGCCTCAGCCTCCCGAGTAGCTGGGACTACAGGCGCCCGCCCGCCACCACGCCTGGCTAGATTTTTGTATTTTTTAGTACAGACGGGGTTTCACCGTATTCGCCAGGATGGTCTCGATCTCCTGACCTCGTGATCCGCCCGTCTCGGCCTCCCAAAGTGCTGGGATTACAGGCTTGAGCCACCGCGCCCGGCCGGTGACTACTTTCTTAAGAAGAAAAGTTGTTACCACAGAGCTTGTTTTGAAAAAAAGTTTATGAACATTGGTTTATGCATGACAGTGATTTTAGTATGAAAGAACTAGAATGAAACCTAATTTGATGCAAACTGTGAAATGTGCTGTTTGAGAAAGTTAATGATGAAAGCCCTGCCTATTTTGCATTGGAGGAACCTAAAGAACATGAGAGAATGAAGGTGGATTAATAAAAGGTATAAGAAACAATTATCTAATGGTTCTTATATTTCAGCTTCTCCTTTCTCTAGCTGCATCTAAACACAACAGTGTTTGCTGTTGGACATTGGAATGCAGCTCTGGTGCTGGGATTTTCATGGTCTGCTTGACTTTTCACAGAGTTACTTCCTCTAAATGCCGCAGATTGCCATGTTGCATTTGGGAGGGAGCCATACTTCATCGTTCAGCCTAGGGCAAGGACTGTATTTATTTTTTATTTTACGTTATTTCAGCTGTTTTCACTTTTTTCTTTATTGTGTTCCTGCCTCCTACAGAATCCTTTTTCAAGTCTTGCTAGGGAAAGGGGAACACTCAGTTATGAACTCTTTAGCACACACGGGGCAGAAAGCAGCCTTCATATTTCTCAGCAGTTCAAATCTCTTCTAAGCCATGTCAGTTTAACCCACTGTGGGTCTGAATCCACAGCAGATCTGCCTGGGAGCTGTTTCTATGTTAAAACATACAAAATCAATTGAGAGTTTTTCATGGCTCATTACAGCATAGTAGAGAGCATAAGTAAGTTATATGCTTATTTTTTTCACTTAAAAAAAAAAGTTGGTATTTGAAAAAGAATTTGCTTCTATAGTTTAACAACAGATAGTTTTGTGACTTAAAGGTTATGTTTAAAACAATTCTGTCAGTTCAGAATTTTTATTTCTGGCTTTTCACTATATGAATTTTAGAGCATGTTTTTATCATACCTATCAGTCAAAGAAACAGTGGACGATGTGGTTATAGCAAAACTGACGTTATGGGCACTGTGGTCCCCTGTAGCCCCATCTAGGGAAGCTCTAATATATTTAGGGGGTGGATAGAATGTATACCATACTCTTTCTCTTTGCTAAAACTCTTCGTTCTATAAATAGGTGAGTATTAGGGCCAGTAATAAGAGAGCAACTGTGTACTCTGAGTTAATGAGCATAATAGTATGATAATTACTTGAAACAGATATGAAAGATTCACTGGGCATAATTAAAGGTGACTTGGAAAGGACAGGAGTGTTTAAGGCATCCTTCTCATTGATCTCACAGGATTACCTTGACTGCATCAGGGACCAAACAAAACTTCCCCTGGGGACTGAAGAAAGATCAGCCCTTTTTGGAAACATACAGGATATCTACCACTTCAATAGGTAAGTTAATATTCAAAAGATCGTTCTCCCATAGGAACATTATGAACATTTCTCAAATGAATGCAGCCTGAGAAACTTTACCTGTAAGCCCTGACTCAGCTTCATACATTTTTGTGGGCTATTATGTCATGAAGCTTTCTACTTAGAAGTATCCTTATTTCCTTATGAGTCTCACATGTATTCCATATTCTCTCGCTCTCCATCCTCCTGGCTCAGAGAAGAAACCTATTTGCCCTGGCAGGGCAATGACATCTTTTCTTCCACAATATGACATGAACAGGACATCCAAGAATATGTACTTGCTTAGTCTCCAGGATCCCAGCTACACTGGATTTTCTATAACTTTTCTTCTACCTGGGGAGTGGGCTGGACACAGTAAACATACAATACATACTTCAAGTCATAACATACTAATGCAATTGAATTGATAATTTCAAATAATCAGTTTAATTAAAAATGTAAGTATGTAGCAGACACTGGGCTAGAAAATTAAAATAGTAAACAAGACAGAGAGTGAATAAATAAGTTATTTTATTAATGCAGCTTGAAAGAAAACTTAGGGCCAGACATGGTGGCTGACACCTGTAATCCCAGCACTTTGGTAGGCCAAGGTGGACAGATCACTTGAGGTTAGGAGTTCGAGACCAGCCTGGCCAATATGGTGAAACCCCATGTCTACTAAAAATATAAAAATTAGCCAGGTATGGTGGTGCGCACCTGTAATCCCAGCTACTCGGGAGGCTGAGACAGGAGAATTGCTTGAACCCAGGAGGTGGAAGTTGCAGTGAGCCAAGATTACACCACTGCAGTCTGTCCAGCCAGGGTGACAGAGCAAGACTCCATCTCAAAAAAAAAAAAAAAAAAAAAAAGGGAAAGACACAGTTAGTAGTCTGATTAAGAGCACAGAAGCTAGTGTACAACATACGTGAGTTTGCATCCCAGCAAAGCCCCCTGTATGTGTTGGGTGAATCTTTAAAGGGAATGAAATTAACCCCTGTATGTCAGGTGTTTACTCAACTCCTTCTTCTCGCTGAGGCTCCCTGAGTATCCACACATACCTTACCTTCTCCACTTATCCTTTTCCTCATGGCACTCCTCAATTTCTAACATACTATATGATCAACTTTTATACTATGCCTGTTGTTTCTTTCCTCTCCACCCTGACTCACAAAACACTTACTCCACAAGGACAGGAGTCTGTTTTGTTACTGTCTAAGTGTCTAAAATGGTGCCTGGCCCATAGGAGGCATCCAAACTTGTATTGAGGGAAGGAATGGAAATAATAGGAAAATCTCCCTCATATGGTTACGGTGAAGCTCCCGTGAACTGATAAACCTACAGTGCCAGCACAAAGGAAGTACCAAAATATAAGCCCATGATGTTCTTGATTTTGCGATAGTGAAATCCCATTATAAAGTTCTGCAATGTCCTGTCATTTTATGGCTCAGCTATAAACGCAAGCTCAGGCCTACCCATCTTGGCTTACTATAGTTGGTAAATGTGAGCTCCTTGAGGGCAGGATCTCCTTTGCCACCCTTGAATCCCAACACCTAGCACAAGCCTGAACCTCTGGGAGACAGGTTGCTTGACTTGAAATGCTTATCCTTTAATTCTGAAAGCCTAGGTTGTAGCAAGTGTCAATGTTACCACAGAACTGTTTTCATTTGACGCAGACTTTGAAAAACAGTTTGTGTATTTTGCATCAGTATTTCTCAACCTGGGCTACCCACTGGAATCACCTGGGAAACTGGATCCTACCTTCAGAAATTCTGACTTGTTGGTGGGACCAGAACATCAGAATTTTTCAAAGGTCTTCATGTGCAGCCATGGTTGAGATACACAGTCTAGATAAAATAAACAAAATAAAAAGAAAATAGAGAGAGGGCGAGGAAACTGAATTGGAGAATCCAGAGTCTACATGTTCATTAGTAACGTGCTGGTGTGAAAGCCAGCCCTCATTGTGCAATCACTGATGATAAAATCCTGTGAGCCCCTGCATAGTTTCTCCTTCCAGAGCCCACTGCTGGCCCTGTAACCCAGAAGGAAGCAAGAGGGCTAGATCCTGGGAGGCCCCTGGCCTAGGTCTTCTGTGGTTTGGCTGTGAGTTGATGGTAAGGCATATTTATAGAGTGCTTGCTCCATACCAGAGGCCATAGAGCTTTAGATGCATTTTCATTTCATATGCATTATCTGAGCCTCTCTGACTCCAAACCCCAGGCATTCAGCCACGTGCCCTCTTGCCAGAGTGGAGCCTTGCTTCTCTGGTTCATGAAGTGTGGCTTACTCCAGGAGGGGCTCCCAATCCCTGGAGTTTAAATCTGTATGTGTCTCCTAATTTAAAGAAAGATAAGAATGAGGCCGGACATGGTAGTTTACACCTGTAATCCCAGCACTTTGGGAGGCCGAGGTGGGCAGATCACAGGCTGGCCAGCATGGCAAAACCCTATCTCTACTAAAAATACAAAAAAAATTAGCCGGGCATTGTGGCACATGCCTGTAATCCCAGCTACTTGGGAGGCTGAAGCAGGACAATCACTTGAACCACGAGTTGGAGGTTGCAGTGAGCCAAGATCATGCCACTGCACTCCAGCCTGGATGACAGAGTGAGACTCCATCTCGAATGAATGAACGAACGAACAAACAAACGAGTTAGCAAGAAGTGATCTTTGCAGTGGACCCCAATCTGCAGAAGTTAGGTGGTGACTGAGATTTACATTCCTGAATTACGTCTCTGTTCTTTTCCCTCTCTTTTTTTTTTTTTTTCTGAGGCACAGTTTCACTGTATCACCCAGGTTGGAGTGCAGTGGTGCGATCTCGGCTCATTGCAACCTCCACCTCCCGGGTTCAACCAATCGATAGGTGTGTCAATTTCAAAGATACACCTATCTGGCAAATCTGTGGTTGGGGCTTGAAATAACTTTCAGCTTCTGTTAGTTCAGGTCTAAGTTTTTCAAAATAATATAATAATACTGTGACCAACTAGGCAAGACTTAAATCTAAAATTAAAGAGAGCATAAAGAAATGGTATTATGCTGGCCTGAAAAATTCAACTGACTGGGTTTCTTTTTTCAGCGAAGATTTCCAAAATACAGAAAAGCACAGAAAGACATTCTGTCAGAGAGTCAGGCGTGGCTCATGGGAGTCTGTCATATTACTCCTTTCTTTGTGCCTTATTTGCTTTAAAATTTGTTTGAAGCATAAAGACATTATAAACAATATTGAATCCAGTTATATCCCCTTCCCCAGTCACATTCCGCTCCGTGAGGAATGGCACACTGATGTGTTGGTAAACCAGTTCTCCAGCATGGGGAAAGGGGAGGGAGGATCTGGAATTTATAATGTTTTTTGATTTCTGTGGTATAAACACTCCCATCACAGCAGATTTCAAATTACTAACACAACATCATGAACATGGAATTAAGAAGAGATGTGCAGCATTGGCTCAGGGAAGCCAGTGGAATCTGGCTTAGTACACAACTGTGCTGGAACTGCCATCCAAAACTTGGTGTTTCCTTCCCAAGCATGGTTTTGTTGCCATTACTATATATACGAGTATTTATTTAAAATGTGTAACATGCTGTGGGAGGCCCAGGTGGGAGGACTGCTTGAGCCAAGGAGTTTGAGGCCAGCCTGGGCAACATGGCGAAATCCCATCTCTACAAAAAATCAAAAAGTTAGCAGGACATGCTGGCACATGCCTGTGGTCCTACTACACAGGAGACTGAGGCAGGAGGATCACTTGAGCCCAGGAGTTTGAGACTGCAGTGAGCTATGATGGCACCACTGCTCTCCAGCCTGGGCAACAGAGCAAGACCCTGTCTCAAAAAAATAAAAGAAGTCACATGCACCTATTTCAAACATGGCATACATGGTGTCAACTTATAGGTGATTTTCACTCAACATTGTTTTTGGGATTTATAGCTCTAGTTCATTTAACTGCTATGTATTATCCATTGGTGATGATCTATCTCTGCATTTTGCCAATTGCGTTAAGATTGAGCATCTTTTCTTGTTGGCCATTTTTATTTCTTCTGCAGTTTTCTGGCTCATATCCATTGCCCGTTGTTCTACTGGGATATTTCTTTTTTTTATTGTTATATAGGAGTTCTTGATGAATTCTGGCTAGTGATCTTTGCAGATTATGTGAGATGTAAATATCTCCTACCATGAGACATGCCTTTTAACTTTAATTGTGGTTTATTTGAAAATAAATTGTATAATGTGTAAGTTCGACTACACTAAGTATACTTTTTATAGTATGTAGGTTCTATGTTGTGTGTGTGTGTGTGTGTGTGTTTTTTTTTTAAGTCCTTTCAATCTCAGGGCATAATATACTCTATTTTTTTCTAAAAGTCTTAAAATTTTGTCTTTCACGTTTGTCCTTAATGTGCCTAACACTGATGGAGGCATGGTGTATGGTAGGAAATCTAAACTCTTATTTTCATGTGGCTAGCCACTGATTTTAAAAGTACTTCTCTCGGCTGGGTGCAGTGGCTCACGTCTGTAATCCCCGTACTTTGGGAGGCCAAGGCAGGTGGATCACCTGAGGTTAGGAGTTTGAGACCAGCCTGGCTAATACAGCGAAACCCTGTCTGTACCAAAAATACAAAAATTAGCCAGGTGTGGCGGCAAGCGCCTGTAATCTCAGCTACTTAGGAGGCTGAGGCAGGAGAATTGCTTGAGCCTGGGAGGCAGAGGCTGCAGTGAGCCAAAATTTTGCCACTGCACTCCAGCCTGGGTGACAGTGTGAGACTCCATCTCAAAAAATAAAAATAAAAAGACTTACATGGATGCGTGGGTCTGTATTCTCTTCCACTGGGCCGCCCATTCTTGTCCCATACCACACTGTTTTGATCATCAAGCCCACATACGTTGCTTTTCTTCAACACTGGCTTAGCTTTTCTTGACTCTGCACTGTCAAGGAATTTTTTTTTTTTAAATTTGTTATTTCTTTGAACTACTCTATTGGGATTTTTTTTTTCTTTTTTTTTGAGACAGAG